CCCGTGACTGTAACTGGCATCACAGTTACAGTTAACTTGTGAGCAACACCTCTCTTCTCTTGGCTGGAGCTCCAGGAAGTTGATAAGTAGCTTCCAAGTTATTTTCCCTGACACTGACAATGGAGTAGGTGTGTGGTCTTTGCCATTTTGGGCCGTCCTCTCCTAGCTGAGCATTTACTGTCTTGCCTGGGCATTTTTTAAAACTCTTGGGGCAGATTGCCCTTGATGATCGGGTAAAGAGCCATGGCCTGAGGACTGGGGAGCAGCACACTAGAGCAGGGGTTCTCCACCTTCACTGCTGACATTTGGGACTGGATAATTCTTTGTGGTAGGGGCTGTCTTATGCATTGTTGGATGTTTAGCAGCACCTCTGGCCTCTACCTACTAGATGCCAGTAGCATTCTCTCGTTGTGACAACCAAAGTATTTCCAGACATTGCCCAGGTGTCCCCTGGGCAACTAAATCACCCCCGGCTGGGAACCTCTGCCTTAGAGGCTAGTGTCCACATGAGACTCACGGTCCCTTCTAGATGCTGCAGCTGTGGAGGCGGGGGAGGCAACCCGGCTGAAGGCCCCTAACTTGAGCAGAGGAGGAATGAAGGACAAAGATAGGAGAAGTGTGGTGGCAGATAAATGGAGCCGTAAGTTAAGGTTGGGGAGCTTCAGAGTAGCAGTAAATGACAGTGGAGAGGAGGGAGAATGGGCGCAGAGCTCTGAGGCTGTGAGGTGCCGCGCGAGGCTCCTTTCACAGGTAACTGGGAGGAGTGTGTTAGCACAGAGCCCGTCTCCTCTCCAGAGGATGGCACTCAAGCCCTTACTTCCCTCTCTTGAGCCACCCTGGAGCACTTAAGTAGCTTTAGATCCTCCTAAGTATTTTACCGCTATCCTCCTGACCTTCTAGAGAGACTTGTGTGAATCTATCAAGTGGGTTAAGTTCCTCGGAGAGAGATTGCAGTTGTTTGATCTTTCTTCACTCAACAGACATTTACCAAGGACCCACTTGGGTAGGGGCTGTACCAGGCACCAGGGACCCCACTAATCACCCAGGACTGTGTGGTCTGGATGGGGAGACCGACAGCCAGCACAGGCAGCCCTGGGAGAAGAAAGAAGGAGGGCCCTGTTGCCAGGCTGCCCAGGTCCACGTCTCAGCTCTGCTCTCGGCTGTTGTATCTCTGTGGGCCTCAGTGTCCTAGTCTATAAAGTGAAGTAGTAAGAGTTCTTATCCCACGTGAGCGTGGAGAGGGTTAAACAAGAGAATGTGTAAGCCTGGAGAGCAGTGCTGGGCATTAGTGAGCACTCAGGGATGTTAGTTATCTTTTTTTAATGTTTTATTATTACTACTACTACATAAGGGCTGAAATATAGAGTGTCAAGAAAATTCTGAGAGACAAGTGATCAAAGACTCAGAAGAAGAGGCTTTTTTGAGATGGGGGTGTTAACAGACTGGTGGGACTTTAGCAGGAAAAAAAAATGTGGAGTTGTGGGAAGATCATGCAGAATTCAGGCAGAAGAGCGAGCAGGCAAGAAGTCACAGATTGTGAGCAAGCACAGCTTATTCGAGGACAGCTGCTGGCTGGGAGATCTGGAGGCTGAGGGAGGGGTGGGCCGTGAGGCCGGGAAGGAAGGCGTGTGGGGCCGGTGGAGGAGGGTCTTGCGAGGGAGACTTGGGCTGAATGGACATTAGGACCAGACCCCTCTGGCTTGGACCTCCTCCATTTGTTGTTTCTTTTCTCCAAAATAGATTTAGAAGAACTTGTCATTTTACTCCCATTCCCCCTTCCCTGGGCAGTGACGTGCTAAGTGTGCTCTCTTACATGCCTTTTGAGAGATAGAAAGCAAATTCATCTTGCTGTCCCTGTCGAACGGGAGCCAGGTAGGGGGATGCTGGCAGCCACTTCGCATCAGGAGACCAGCAGGCGGAGCACAGGCTTCCCCGTTCAGTGACCTCTCAGAGGGTGTCGCTGCTCGTGGAGTTCACAGAGGAGCAAATCAAGGCTGGGGGGTCACGATGCACTTCCCGCCTGTCTCTCTTCTGCTGCTCGCACACTGCGTCAGGGCAGGGGCTGGAAACCATCCTGACAGATGTGGCTAATAACCAGGGCATCTGTGCCAAAGGAGCAGCGTCTTTATTTCTCCGGAGCCTGTGGCATTGGCCTGAGGCTTTGCTGAATCAGCCCCGTGCTGTCTGGCGTCCTCCTCGCTGCTGAGACCTCAGTCCCAAGGTCACGAGTGTCCCCTGGATGGCCCTGACTTTTGCTTCACCACTCTCTGAAATTTCACACAGTGAACACCACATACTTATTAAGTACTTGCCAGGCCCTAGGGGTACGGTTATGAATAAGACAGACACCATCCTTGTCTTTGTGGAACATGTAGCCTTGTGGGAGAGACAGACATCAAATAAACCATTGCAAGTGTTATGGATAAGGGCTAAGAACGGGGAACATCCAGGAAGCGTGGCAGTGAAGAACGGGTAGAGGAACCCAATCCTCAGGTGGGTGGGGTGACGAGGTCAGGAAAGGCCTCACGGAGGAAGAGGACTCTCCGTGATGTGTGAGAACGCCTAGGGGTGGGCAGGGTGGAGCTGGCTCATGACCGGACCCTGTGGGCTTCCCCAGGCCGCATCCCCTTCGGCCTCCCTGGTGTCTTTGGCACTATTGCCTTCCCTCTCGTTCTTAAATGTCTTCTCTATCAGCCCCAGTCCTACTTGTTTTCACTTTCTTTCAGACTACTCTTTTGTACCCTTTGCTGGCTTATCTCACTCCCCACACATAATTCCGGCCTTCCCAGGGGATGACATTGCTCTCCACAGGTGTGGACAGTGGTGGAAAGAAGCCAGACTTGGAGGAGGCCCACCTGGCTGGGTCCCAGCCCCTGCTTTACTCCTCACTGGTCATGGAACCTAGACAAGCAGGTGACTGACCGCTCCATGCGTTGGGTCCTATCTATAAAGGAGGCTCCCTTTATAGAGGCTGCCTGAGGACTGAGGTTTTGCCTGTAAAGCTCCTAGTGCAAGGCCTGTGTGAGTCAAGGTTACAGGACCCTTTCTCTTCTAGCATCAGAAGCTACTTGGTTCGGTTAACCTTGTTTTTTTCCTGAAAACCTGATGAATGTGGAATGTCAGGGTGTTACCTGGCCACAGCACTCATGGTAAAGCTGACCCCTACTTGGTAAACTGCATCTGGACTGGGAGTTCTCTGTATGACTTCTAAACACTGATGAGGGAGCTGTGGCTTTGGGCTTCCTGAATGTGGTGTCTCCTTGTAGAGACCCTGGAAGCTCTGTCTGTGGGGTTGTCACATGAGATGTTGGCTCCTGTGGGGCCTGGTGGCTCCCATACCCAATCACTTGTACCTGAATTGACAGCTAGGGGTGACCTCATCTCTCAGGTGAAAGGATTAACCCTTCCAGTTCCAACATTTTGTCCATGCATTTAAAAATATCCCGAGAGGGCCGGCCTCATGGCTTGGTGGTTAAGTGCACGCGCTCCGATGCTGGTGGCCCAGGGTTCGGATCCCGGGCGCGCACCGAGGCACCACTTCTCCGTCCATCCTGAGGCCGAGTCCCACATACAGCAACTAGAAGGACGTGCAGCTATGACATACAACT